TGTGTGTGTACGTGTGTGTGCATGTGTATGTGTGCACGTGTGTGTGTGTGTGTGTACATGTGTGTGTGTGTGTGTGTGTGTGTGTGTGTGTGTGTACGCGCCTGTGTGAGGGTTTGAGGGACCTCAGCAGCAATGGCACAAGCTGAGCTCGTCCTCCCGGGCCCTCAGCTTCTCTGCTGGTTCCTGTTCTTCCTCCTGAGGGGACCTGGCTCTCTCTGCCGGTCTTCACACACATTCCTCTCCAGTCGGGTCTCCAGTGAGGAGCCTGAGAGCAACCAAGAGCCAGAAGAGCTGAGCACCCTGTCATCCTGCCTCTCTGAGCCCAGATCATGGTTCCCTGGTGGCCCAGCTCTGCCACACACTGGCCAGTGGTCCAAGAGAAGAAGGCTGAAGTGCCCCCAGGCCAGTCCCGAATCCACCCTGTGATTGACCTTGAACTTGACCGAGTGCCGAGCGGAGCGGCTGGACCGCAGGTTGCAGTGGCCAGTAGTCGCCTGCTGTCTCCAGGCGACTCCAAGGGGCAGTGGCAGGCTGCAGTGAGCTGGCTGGGGCTGGACTGGCGCCAGGTGGATCTGCTGGGGAAGCGCCCTTTGTTTATAGGAAAACTCTCTGATTGCCTAGCAACCAGTGGGCAGGCAAGCAAGGGCGGGAGGCTGCGAGCCATTTCTGGGCTGGGTTCCTGGCTGCCCTGACTCACTGTGACCTTAAGCAATCTCTCTCTCTCTCTTTCTTCTCTCCCCACCCCTCTGTCCACCCGGCCAGGGAAGCTGTGGCCCCCATCACATCTTGTCACCTGGAATCAGGAGGATGGAGCCTGGCTGGTTAAGTTCTGCCTTGGGGGAAGTCAGTCCTCAGTTGGTCTTAGTATTGTCTTGGTGGCATCTGGATGGATGGCACCTGAGGCCACACCTACCAAGAATGCAATGCATTCCTGCTCTGGGTGAGAGGGGACAGATTCAGTCAGATGGACCCAGGATCCAGCTCCCCCACAGACCTGCCTCCGTGTCCCTGATCAAGCCCCCCTAATTCCCTGTGACCTGAGGTCTCGAGGAGCAGGTGGCCCAGGTGTGAGACTGGGCAATGGCGGCCCTGCTCAGCCTAGGGCCTGAAGGTGACACTGGCTTTTGGGGAGGTGGCCTTGCCAGGAAGTGTGTCTCCTTCCCACTGTGGACCTAGGCTTTTCTCTTTCCTCGGTTCTGTCCCCCACGCCCTTGAACCGATTCTAGCAAGTCTTCAGGTTGAGAGTGCTGAGCAGTGCCCACCCTGGGCTCATGTCCCGACAGTCACACGTGTCCCCAGGGAGGGCCAGGGTCCCTCAGGGACTGAACCACCCAAGGGAGACCGTCCAGGGTCAGGCCCACTCGGGGAGGCCAAGAGAATCAGCATTTCCGGGTCATCACCCAGCTGAGGCCAGAGGCCATGGAGACCCACACACTGAGGGGAGGGACAGGAGACAGATCTGAGAGCGGGTACCCCAGCCAATGTCCATACCAGGCACCCCATGATCTTCCCTTCAGCTGGGCTTTTGGGGTGCCTGACTCCACTTCTGTTTTGTTTCTTAGATTTTCGGAGACTGGGTCTCCAGGAGCCTTGAACTCACTGAGTGCTGAGGCTGACCTTGAACTCTTGACCCTCCAGGGCTGCAATGCCAGGTATGTGACACCCATCCCCACACCTGGCTCTTGGGGTGTTGGGGATGGAACTGCCCGTCTTTGGCATCAGTGGGGTTTCTGGTCGGAAGGTCAGCCATTTCCCCTGTGACCTCTCAGATCCCTTCCTTCTCCAGCCTACAGAGGCCTCAGTGGTCAAGGCACTTGCCAGCAGGCCTGACAACCCAGGTCCAATCCTCAGGGCCCACTGATGGCTGCAAGGTGTCTTTAGCATGTATGCTGTAGCCCCCCCCCCCCACACACACAGTAAATAAATAGAACAAACAGGCCGGGTAGTGGTGGCGCACATCTGTAATCCCAGCACTCAGGAGGCAGAGGCAGACAGATATCTGTGAGTTTGAGGATAGCCTGGGCTACAAAGTGAGTTCTAGGACAGCCAAGGCTACACGGAGAAACCTTGTCTCAAAAAACCAAATGTGTGTGTGTGTGTGTGTGTGTGTGTGTGTGTAAATATGTACACATGTATGTATGCAGATATGTTTCTAGCATGAGGAGGAGTCTTGGGAAGGAGCTGTGCCTGCAGAAGCTGAGTGACATTAAAATTTCAACGACTGTGGGAGGTTGGAATGCTGCAAATACTAGGCATAATTAGTTTATTTGGGGCTAGCCTTAGCCTCCTAAGTAGCCATTTCTTATCCCTCTGTATCAGACCTACCATCCAGACTAAAAGACTTTTGGGCTGCATCAACTTAACAGAAGAACCCCAATTCTCAGCAACTCAAAGGGAGAGTCATTAAGAACATCTTATCTCGTCTGAATGGAGAGCCACGTTTTTTTGTGTCAACATGGGGAATGTAAACTCACCCCTGGGTCAGGGTGCCCTGAGGCCACCATGTTGGTGACTGGGGGCTGGGGCAGGGCTGGAGGAGAGCGGGGTGCAGACGTGTCACACAGACGTGCTCCAGCACGCCCTCCCCACCCGACAAGGCTGGGCCACTCCAGGACGTGGCCATTCCCACCCGCCCCCTCCCTGTTGAGCTGGACCCTGGGTCGGGAAGCTGCATAGCCCTGGCTTTCACTGCACACAGAGCTCAGGGCACTGAGCGGAGGTGACTTCTGACCTTGCCCAATGGCTGGCCTGGCTACCTGCCAGGCCTCCGCCCTCAGTGCCACCACCCAAAGGGGACTCTTCTCCCAACCTGCTGCTTCCTACAAGCCCTGGTGCTGGAGTCCCTGCATCTCTGGGCTGGCTGGTGACTCAGTCTTGCTGTATACCCAATCCTGTCCCCAGGTCCCCAACACCAGCACGGTGGCAGCCACCTTAGGCAGGCCTGGCCTCTTTATGCCTGGGATGGCCACGCCCCCTTCTCCTCCCAGCTCCCTTTCTCTGTGGTGAGTCAGGGGATGGAGAGCCAGTGCAGGGTGGTGCAGGATAGCCCTTCCCAGCACAGACAAGGCAGTCCTAAGTGCCAGGTGTGGTGGTGTACACTTGCTGTCCCAGCACTGGGGAGGCTGAGGCAGGAGGATTGCTGTTTAAAGCCAGCACTGGCTACATAGTGAGAAACCATCTCAACAGAACACAAATGACCATGGGCGCCCCAGGCTAGCTGGAGAGGGGCAGAGGATGGAGGATGATGGCCTCTGAGAGGACATGGAATTTTGTGTCATAAGGAGTCTGCCCCAAGCCTGGGTGGGAGAGCTGCAACAGGACCCTTGGGGGGTCAGAGGTCAAGAGCCAAGGCGGCAGTGGGGTGGGGTAGGGGCAGCCAGTGGTCATGGGGAGCAGGATGGGGTCAGACTGGGCAAGCCTGCTAGGCAGAAGTGACAACCTGCTGACCCAGTGTGAGCACTGAGAGGCCGGATGAAGAACTGAGGGGCATGAGGCGGGACTGGTGAGCGGCTCTGGCTCCTGCTCCCACCCTGGCCTGAAGGAAAATAGTGACCTAAGTTGCTTACCTTGCAAGTTTCGAGAGCTCTGTGTGGAGGTGTACCTGTCATCCTAGCACTCAGGAGATAAGACAAGGAGGAACCCCATTCAGGGAGAGCCTGGGCTACATAGCGATGGCCAGGTCACCCCTGAGAGGAACAAAAGCCGTTCGGGGTATGGTGGCTCCTACTTGTCATCTCAACACCTGGAAGGCTGAGACAGGAGGATTTTATTCCTGCAAGGATTGTGAGTTCAAGGCCAGCCTGGGTTGCAGAGTGAGACCCTGGCTGGAAAACACTGGCTACTTCTGCAGAGGCCCTGGCTCAGTTCTCAGCACCCACATGGTGGCTCACAACTGTCTGTAACTCCAGTCCCAGGGGACCCAGGGCCCACTTCTGACCTCCTGGGGAACACACGTGTGCACAGACGTTCACTGTGTGCAGGCGAACACACACACAAAACACAATCTGTTAAATCTTAACAAAGGAAATAACGGGAGCTCCGAAAGTCAGCTCCTGTCACAGGAACTGTGAGTTAACTGAGTGAACGGTCCCAGGAGCCCAGCTGGCCAGGACACCCCATCTTGGCACCCATGAGGTTTTCTCAGAGCAGCACTGGCTTGCGGTTGGGCCATGAAGGCTTGTGAGGTATGGAAGGGCGGGCACCCCTGCATGCCCGCAGCTTCCCTGGGGACAGGGGTGCCCTGCCGACAGCCACAGGCCACGCATGTTCCCTCCTCACTGTCATCCTGTGTTCTTCCATCACACTGTCACCCTTGAGGGCAAAGACAGGACCCTTGTGGAGTCTGGGGCCCTGAGCTCAGCTTGCTCACCCCAGCCGGGCCCCTCCACAGCTTGGAGCCTTGGGCCCTGAAGCCTGGCCTTGCCAGGGGCAGCCTGCCTGGGGCCAACTGCCTGCTGCCACCTGGACTGACTCCTCCTGCTCACCTGGCTCCTGTCCCTCAGGCTTCTGCCCTGGTTCATCATCCCTTACTCTTGAACAACATCCTGATAGCAGCTGGGACAGCCAGGGGGAAGGTGGAGCAGGAGGCACTGTTGGGTCCCCCTGCCTGTGGGCGGTGACCACAGCTCACAGGTCTTCCTTTTTTCCTCACAGCATCTTCCGGGGCCTGAGACTGTGGCAGTGGGAAGGTCAGGGCTACCCGGTGACAAGGTCTCGGCTGCCCAAGCGGCACTTCCAGCCCACTGGGGCCCTCTCTGATCATGTGACTGCCGGTGATGGGGGGCCGGCTCTCTGGATGCACCCTGCTTCCCACACTTGCATCTGAGTAGAGCGACCAGAGTCCTGTGCGGAGACTCCCCCTGGACGCACACTGAGGACAAGGCCCTTGGAAATCACACAGGACCCCATCATCTGACATGGGGGCACTTTGCAACCCAGTGTCCACCCAAGTGGCAAAGCCTGACTTGGAAGGAGCATTTTCACAGGAAATTCAAAAACAGAAATCAGGCCCAGTGGAATGGCTCACCACTTCCCCAACCTGACTGCCTGAGTTCGTCCCCTGGGACCTGCATGATGGAAGGAGGGAGCCAACTCCCAAAAGCAGCCCCCTGGCCCACACAGGTGAGCTGTGGCATGCCCAGGTACACACACATACACATAGAGGCACCATAAACAGAAAATGTAAAACAACAACAATAATAATAATGTGTTGTTTGACTGTTCCGGTTAAGACAAGTCTCACACAGCCCAGGCTGGCCCCACACCCATGACATAGGGGAGGCTGGGTGCGAACTCCAGGTGCCTCTCCTCCACCTCCCAAGTGCTGGGGTGACTGGAGATCCCCAGCACACCCAGCCCACTAGATCCTAACCATGATATGTGATGTGGAGCTTATGGCTTGCCCTTTAGCTTTCTATCCAATGAGCTTGCTTCCGTTTTTTATAGGATGCTGCCACATTCAGTGATAAGAGCAACCCTGAAAGTTGAGAAATTTCTTGTGACGTCTTCAAATGTTCCAAGACATGAGCTGAGTCACTGCATAAACGGCTGGGACAGCCTCCACTCTGCCATCAATGGGTGTCCTTTGAGAGGGGGGTTGGAGGAGGGGGTTAGTGACAGGCCCTGTGGACACCGTGGAAGCACGTGAATTCCCCACGAACCAGCCCTGCTCCACGGTATCGATTTATAGCCCTCCTCCCGTGGGGGCAGGGCGGCTGGAGGAGGGAGGCAGATGTGTCGCCAGCCCGAGCTCCTGTGGGAGGGCGAGTGTTTACCTCAGCAACCGGCCCTGGTAAATAGTCCCCACCTCCAGCCACGGCCAAGAGTGGGAGGGTCATGGGTCTGATCCTGATCCAGCCAGGGCTGGAAAGCAGCCTGCGAGGGGCACCTGTCAGCCAGGCCGCCCCCAGCATCTCAGCATGCCCTGTGGGGTCACCCTGGGCTCCCAGCGTTAGACGGGATGCCAGTATGGGGGCCGGGCGCTGGGCTCGGATTCCAACACCAGCCAGTCCTGAGTGGAATCCACCTTGTCTGCCATCGGGGTGGCCCTGATCGAGGCTCTAGAAACACCAGGAATTAGACTTTTCTTTAAAATTCCACCAAAAACTTAAGTCAGAGTCAGCGGGGCAGAGCAACATCTCCAGCGCGCACAGTGACGTCAGCGCAGACCCCAGCAGACGCCTGCTACCTGCCGCTGCCCACACCCCCACACCATCTAATCAGAAAAAACACATGCAGATGCTGGATGGGAACCGGGCAGGCTTCTGGCGCCGCGTGCCCAGCCTTCATTGTTTGCTGAGTAACAACAGTTGCCAGGGGCAACGCAGTCCACTCCTGTTTCCAAGCACCCGTTGCTCGGCAACCAAGAGAATACTTCCCAAACCAAACAATGTCATCCCCGGGGCAACTTTTCTATCTCACGTTAACCAGATCTAAAATAAAAAAATAAATAAATAAAAAGAAAGCCCTTCCAAATATGTAATCTATTATTTTCAGAGGCCTGAACAGCAAGACAAATAATTTCTTCTCTATAGTAACTGAGAAAGGCCGACAGCTCGCCAGATCTGTTCTGAGGCCAGAAGCCCAGGAACCCGACCAAGGCAGCTCCCAGGAATCCCCGGACAGACCGGCTGCCACCCTTCCTAGCCCTGGGCTGGGGAGAAGGATGGGGTGGGTTTACCTCAGAGAGCAAATCACACACAACTGTTCTCGGGGTTAAGTTATTCGAGAAAAGTGTAAATCACAGCGGCTGCCTAACATGAACGACTCCAGGGGATCCCCAAAGTGTGGGAGGAGCCACTCGGTACCGGGGCTCAGGGTGGCCCTGCCCCGGGGAACTCCACGGAGGGTCGAGGGTGGGGACTGTCACTCTCTTCCCAGAGACAGGCAACTGCTAAGAGGACTGGGTGGCTTCAGAGGCCCCGCTGGGCAGGAGGCTCGCGGGCATGGCCTCGGAGGCCCTCTGAGGGACAGCCCTGACCCTGTCCCACGCAACACTGGGCTCAGTGAGCTTGTCCTGAGGGGCAGGGCCAAGGCTCTGCAGCCGTCTCCTGTGGTTCCTGTTAATCACATTTACCTGCATGCATGCATCCACTTTGCCCGTGGAGCTCAAAGAACTTGTGAGTCTGCTCTCTCCTTCCACTAGGGGGGCCATTGGGACCGAGCTGGGGTCTTTCAGTGTCTTTACCCATGAGCCATCTCTGCAGCCCCGGAAACCATTTCAGTCAGGCAGGACACACGGAACCCCAGCCTCCTGGGCCGGCACTGACTCAAGCATACACCCCGACAGACAACTGAGCGTCCCCGTGGCTCCTGGTGCAGACAGGGTCCCTGTGCAGAATTCCAGGCCACCACCCGGGAGCTGGGTCTACATGCAGGAATGGTTGTCCCTCCCAAGGACAGGGACGCGTCGGGCAGTCACTGGCTGGGGTGACTGGAGCGGCAACGGTGTAGTGCCGCTCTGGAGACACAGCTGCTGCTCTGCGTGGGGAAGGAGGCATTGGCGGTGCCGTGGTGAGGCCCTGAACCTCCCACCAAAAGGAGGACCAATGCAGGGTCTTAGCTGTATTGTCCTCGGGTGTCAACCAAACGCAGGGGCTGGGGCGGCGAGGTGGCCCAGAGGGTAAAGGTGCTTGCTGCCGAGCCTGAGGAACCGAGTTTGGTCGGAAGGACCCGCGTGGTGGAAGAAGAGAACCAACCTGCGGGTTGTCCTCTGACCTCTGCACAAGAACCACGGCACCCATGTCCATGCACACATGAGTAATCAAAGCAACAAAAATAAAAATACAGCCCGAGGTCTGCACGACCAGGCTTTGCCTTGTGATCAAAACATCCATGAGCCTCTCTGTGGGGAGTATCTCATCTGTGTGCAGTGTGGTGTGGTGTGGTGTGGTGTGGTGTGGTGTG